CTCAGCCTCGTGCTTATTCTACAACACCACACCACGAGTAAAGGGAGAGGAAGAGTTAATAGAAAAGAAACTCTTTAGGCAGGGTATGGTAAACAGCCACAAAAAATTGCTTCAGGTGCCATTTAGTGGGTGACCTGGGCCTCCTGAGCTTCACACCAATTAATGAAACCCAACAGTGAGATCTGCTCTGACATGCAGCAAAAACTCAAGCTGCTGACTCTATTGGCAGTAAACTGCTTAAGAAACCAAGAAATGAGAAATGGCATATGGATGCCATTTGTGTGAGGTTTGCTACTCATATCAAGTTCCTAAATTGACTTAGTATCAGAAACAGTTATTGTAGAAATCAGAGTCCTGAGTCACACTGCAGACCTGTGGTTGTGATCGAGCAGATTCTGACTCATATAGTGACTTGACAGGACAGAGTAGAACGGTCCCATAAAGTTTCCTACACTGTAATGTTTAAGGAATCAGATGGACAGATTTTGTTTGTTTTTCCTCCCCCACTGTCAACTTTTTGATCTTTTTATTAACAGCTGAGCACTTAAGCATTGTGCCACCAGGGCTTCTTTTGTTGTTGTTGTTAAGTGCTGTCGAGTTGGTTCCGACTCATATCGACCCTGAACAGGGTTTCCGAGGCTGTAAATCTTTACGGGAGCAGAAAGCCTCATCTTTCTCCTGTGGAGCAGCTGGTAGTTTCAAACTGCTGAACTTTTGGTTCGCAGCCCGATTCATAACCACTATGCTACCAGAGCTCCTTACTTCAGACTTAATGACTCCAGATCTCAGGACTCTGAATTTTAAACTCATTGGCTTGTCTTTCTTCCTTCCTGAAAATGGTTGAAGAATAAGGCATTATGAACAGAAAGTTTTCTAAGGAAATAATTTAAATAAATTTCGTAAAAAGCAAAAGGGTATGTGAACTTTGAAATCTTAAAACTGATTGAAATGGGTGACTTCAGGTCTAGATTCAAACTACATTGTGAATCTTCACTTCTACTGAGCAACCGTGCTGTATGTAATATTGAAGAGAGCAAGAGTCAGGATTCCAACTTGGATGAGAAATTGTTTGTTGAAGATATTTGTCAAGAAAGAATGGGTATGCAGCTTTGTCCTAGGGAAAATGCTTTTAGTCAACATTGTCCCAAGATATCAGGACATAGAACTGATAAAATTAAGTAAAAATCAATGTTGTTAAATGCCATCAAGTTGGTTCCAACCCATAGTGACCCTATTTAGGGTTTCCGAGGAGCTTGAACCGTCGTCAATCTTGTGGTTCACAATTACCTTACAATCCAACGCATTAACCTGCAGCACCACACCAGGACTCCTAAGTAAAAATAAAGTCCTCAAATTCATCTCCTAACTTTGCAACCATGATAAAGTAAAAGCTAATTAACCAATGATAAAGTAAAAGCTGTGGGTTAATGTACTGGACTGCAAAGTCGGTTTGAACTGCAATGCCGGCAATTCAACTTCACTAGTCACTCCTCGGAAACCCTATAAAAGTCATATGGGTTGAAACTGACTCAACAGCACTTAACAACAACAACAGTTTTTAATTTACTAACTCTTTAAAATCAGACTTTATTCACTAAGCCCTCTGTTCAGTTTCTGCTAACTTTTGTAAAATCTATAATTAAGGTAGAAGTGTAGCTTGTTTCTTTTTAAAAAGAGGAAATGGCAAATATACAGAAAGCTGACTCAGTTGTTCCCTAGGATGTTAACTAATAGATTTGTTAGTTGCTGTTAATTTTGTTCTGACTCATAGCGACCCTGTGTACAACAGAATGAAACACTGACCAGTCCTGTGCAGTCCTCCCAATTGTTGCTGTTTGAGCCCATAGTTGTTACTACTGTGTCAGTCTGTCTTGGTGTGTTGGGAGTGATTTAAGCTGAAGGTGTCAGACTTGGGGGTAATTTAATTGAAGGATTGCAACTGAACATCTGTGGTCCAGAAAATCGGGCTGCTCCCAGGTCATCTGGCCCCCTGAAGAACTTGCAGGGCTGCTTTGGGGGACAGGGAAATTGCAAGGCTTTTCCTTGTATGATTTTCAGTTCAAGTCTGCAAAAACATCTTGCCCTATCTGTCTCCTTAGCAACCACAAATTACATTCTTCTGATAAAGTCCCACTTACTGCATGCATCAATAACACCAGATGTTTTTCTTTTCCCTGCCCCCAGCACCTCCTACGTGTGTATATATAGTAAACTTTCTGAATCTAGGTCTGAGGCACAGTATCTCCATCATAGTACTGTGTCCCACCTGGTCCTAACTTTACTATTTTCATTTTGTGTCTTGTGTCTCTGTTTATTTCTAATCTCCTGTAGCCCCTACTTGGGTTGAATCTCTCCGTGCAGGTTGCCAAGTATAGTCACTTGTCAGATGCAGCATTAGTGAAGATCTTCCTCTTTTTTACTGACCCTCTTCTTGACCAATCATGATGTCCTTTTTCAGGAACTGGTATCTTCTCATAACAGGCCTAAAGTATGTGAGACAAAGTCATGCCATCCTTGCTTCTAAATTTTGTTCATCCTTTTGGCAGTCCATGGTATATTTAATATTCTTTGACAACACCAAAATTCAAAGGCATCAGTTCGTCTCTGATCTTCCTTATTCATTAACCAGCTTTCCTGTGCATATGAGGTGATGGAAAATAACATAGGTTTGGTCAGGTGCACCTGAGTCCTCAAAATGATTCAAATTTTGAACACTTTAAAGATATCTTTTGCAGCAGACTTGCCCAATGCAGTATGTTGTTTGATTTCTTAACTGCTACTTCCATGGGTGTTGATTGTGGATCCAAGTAAAATGAAATCCTTGACAACTTCAATCTTTTTTTTCTATTTATCATGATGTTGCTTGTAGGTCTAATTGTGAGGATTTAAATTTTCTTTATGTTAAGGCCTAAGCTATACTAAAGGCTATAGTTTTTAATTGTCTTCAGTAAGTGCTTCAAGCCTTCTTTGCTTTCAGCGAGCAAGGTTGTACCATCTGCATATCGCAGGTTGCAGTAATAGATTTCCCACAAAGCCCACTGCTATCAACCATTAATGCCCTAATAAAGACATGTAGAAGTGACACATAGGGTTTCCAAGGTTTTAATCTTATGGAAGCACACTGCTACGTCTTTCTTCCACAAAGCAGCTGGTGGGTCTGAACCACCAAAATTTTGATTGGTGCACCAGTGTGCCTGTAATACTTTCTAAAATTAAAAAGAATGTCTTGGTCAAACATATTCCAAGAAGTTAGAGATTAATGCTAAAGATTAATGTTAGACACTAATATTAGTTTAGAGATTGATGTAAAAAAAAGAGGTTGTGATTTAGCAACACCCTACCCCACATACAAGTGTATAACGTTTTTCTCCTCCTTTCTGAAATTTCCATGCCTACAAAACACTGCCTTTGTTTTTCTCATCTGATAAAAATTTCACTCTTATCTCTGCAAGTTGGAACACGGTCCTGCTGGGATGCTTGTGTGTCTCCCAATTTTTCAAATCTTCTTATCCTTTAATAAAACTCTTTAATATCTTAAACCACAAAACCAAACCCCCTGACATCAAGTCAATTCAAACTCATAGTAACCCTGTATAGGATGTCCCAGACTACAAATCTTTAAGGAAGTAGGTAAATCTCATCTTTCTCCCTTGGGGCTGATGGGATTGAACTCAGCCCAAGGCCTAAACTACAGTGCTACCAGGGTTCCTTCTTTTATTTCTAGAAAATTGTAAATCTGGTGTTTCACTAGATGCAACAAAGGTTAAGAATAAGTGCCTCTGTGGAGTCAGTTCCGACTTATAGCCACTCTGTATAGAGTTTCCAGGGAGTAGCTAGTGGGTTTGAATTGCCAACCTTGTGATTCACAGCCAGTGCTGATCCCACAGCGCCACACCTGCCACATCGAGTCCGATAATGCTGTTATTGTTATGTGCCATCGAGTCGGTTCCGACCCATAGCGACCCTGTACAGGGTTTCCGAGGCTGTAAATCTTTACGGGAGCAGAACGCCTCATCTTTCTCCCGCGGAGCGGCTGGTAGTTTCGAACTGCTGGCCTTAAGGTTCGCAGCCCAATTCGTAACCACTACGCTACAGGAGCTCTTCACCTCACTTAATTTATTTGCTTCTTTCTCAAACGTTAATCTTTCTATTTGAAGGGCTGCATTTCTCGATGTATTTCTGATTTTTTAAAATTACAGTTTAAGTTATATGTGCCAGAGTCAGGAGATTGCTGTATTTAGCCCTTCCCAGATAGTCCATCAACAAAACAAAGCATCTATAATAGCTCACGGTGCCCTGCCGAGAACAACCAGGAGGTTGCTGAACCTCAGGAATTGACATGAATAAAGAAAGGGGAAGGGGGAAAAGAGTTAACTTTGCAATAAAATTAGGGGTGAGTTTGCTGCAATTAGCTCATTAAAGATCTCTGAGCAACAAAAATACCAATGGACTTCAAAAAGTTCGTGGGAAAATGGAATTTTTCCATGAACTCTGGGAATAATAATGATTAATTATTAACCATTAATAATCTGCGGCCCCTGTACCTAAAAATCATCAGATCTGAAGTCAGTAATACGTTAATCCAGACCAACCACTGACACTACATGGCCCCTTTTTTTTCTTTTCTTTTCTTTTGCAGAACTGGGAGAAAAGTTTAGTGCGAGATGAGGACGAGGAAGACTGGGGTGGAGGGAAGGACAGAAGTTCCTTTTTTCTCCAGGCCAGCTCTCCCAAGAACACCCATAGAGGAAAAGGCGGGGCCAGCACCGCCCCGGCCCCATTCACATCGCAGCCCCGCCAAAGCCCGTCTCCCCTCGAGAATGCGGACAGCGCACGCGCAGACCCGTCCCTCGGAGCCGTAAGCCCCGCCCTTTACTCGCAGGCTCTGGGGATGTTTGGCGTTACCATGGAGCCTCTAGCTGCTGGCGAATGCGGCTTTTTGCCCAGGCAACCGGGGAGAACAGAGCCGGATCAAGGGTGCGCGTGTAATAGCGGCTACGATGGTGTCCAACCCCGTTCATGGCCTGCCCTTTCTCCCGGGCACATCCTTTATTGACCCTACGGTGAGGACTCATCTGTCCTGCTTCCACTTATCCCCACCTTTCTGCAGTTTCTGAGTCTCTTGGCTTAGTGCGCCTCCATTCCCGCCATCCGGGGCTGTCCTCTCCCTTGAAACCTGTCCTGTGCCCCAACCCTGTTCTCATTTTCTGCCGCAATTCTGTCTCCCTCCTCCACGCAGCAGCATTCTTTTCCCAACGTTTTTCTCCGCTCTTTCCATTTCTTCAGTTTTTCCATCTGCCTCGCCACTCTGTCGGCCCGCCCTCGTTCTCATTCCCCTAGAGGAGTAATTCCTTGCTGCTCTATTCCTCCACTTCTTGTTTCTCTCTTCAGATCACTGTACAACACCTTACTCCCAAGCGCTCCCCGGTCTCACTTCGCTCTTCCTTACCATACCTTGTCTCTCCGCAACTTCATCTGTAAACTCCTCCAGATTCCGTCAAGTTCCTGGTCTCCCGCTGCTCACCTCCACCCTCATCCCCCTTTCCACAGTCCTTTTCCTGGTGTGGCGCCATAGAATAAGCACTCGACCACAAGTGCCGTCGAGTCGATTCCGACTCATAGCCACCCTGTAGAGGGTTTCCGACGAGCGGCTGGTGAGGTTGAACCGCCAACCTTGCAGTTCAGCGCATTAACCCGCAGCGCCACACCAGGACGGGAGATATTCATTTCAATTCCCTCAACCACAATTCCTTAGTCGCTCTAGCTTTATTCTTCTCACCCTAACATTTCTTTGTAAAAAGTCTGATTTAGATTTTGTTTTTCTCCTACCCACAACTCTAAATGTTTTTTTGTTTCCATCTCTAGACAAAATTGAAAAAAAAAAAAAAATAGCTTGCACTCTTTTTTTCTCTCTCTCTCTTTCATGACAGATTAGCCAGTATTTGTTTTAATTCTGACATGGTTACTGAAATATACATTCTGGAATGTCAGTATGTGAGGTTCAGTAGGCTGATTATCAGAGAGGATACAACAATAATCTATATCGCTTAATAATTTCAACTGTAAATTCCTCTCTATGTTTACAAGGTTAAGATAAAATATTTAGCGGATGTATTTTCTTTGAGAGAATACATTTAAATATTTAATTGAAAGTTTAGTTAGGATATTTGGATTCTGAATCTCTTCTACCTCATCTATAGCATCATAGATTTTTTATTTTCAGGTTTTTTTTCAGTTTTATGTGGAATCCTTGTTGTTGTTGTTAAGCACCATAGAGTCGGTTCCACTCATAGTGACCCTTTATAGTTTCTGAGGAGTGTCTGACGAGTTTTAATCACCAACCTTGGGTTCAAACAGACCTTGCTGTTCTATGCTTATCCTACAGCATCACACCAGGATTCCATGTGGAGTCCTTGAATAGTATTAATGGTTAAAATGCTAAGCAAAGCACTGGAAATTTGAGTTCAGCCAGGTGCACCTTGGAAGGACATACTGGCAAACTACTGTAAAATAAGCCACTGAAAACCCTGTTGAGCACAGTTCTACTCAGACATACTGGGGTTGCTATGAATCAGAATCTACTCAAAGCAAATGACTGTGGTTTTATATAATTTAGAAACTGTTGTAGGCAATTTCTTGCTCTATGAAGGCACCTACTAAAGGTTTGGTGCTGGGAAGTGTGGGTTACTTAAGAGACATGGTTGATTTGGAAGATTACAGACATATGGACTAGCGATAAGCAGTCCTGGTTACACAGTGGTTAAGCACTCAGGTTTTAACTGCAAGGTCAGTGGGTTTGAACCTACTATTTGCTCCAAGGGAGAAAGACGTGGTAACCTACTTTCATAAAGGTTACAGTCTTGAAAACTGTATGGGGCAGTGGTCTGTCCTGTAGGGTTACTATGAGTTGGAATCCACTAGATGGCAGTGGATTGGATTTGGTTGGATTAGTGTTGCCAGACTCTGAGGCTATAGAGAGCTGTAATACAAATAAGGTAAACTCTCCATTGAACATAATGTTATTAAAGTGCCATTGAGTAGGTTCTGACGCATAGTGACCCTTTCCAGAGTTTCCAAGGAGCCGCTGGTGGATCTGGACCACCAGCAAGGATCTGGCCTTGTGGTTCAAACTGACCTTGTGGTTGGTCCAATGCTTATCCTATAGCGCCACATTGAGTTAGAGTAATTTGTGATTTGGTCTTAGATTTTCCATATTTTAAATCCACTGGCTGAGTGTCAGTCAATTTGCTTTAAGCTTGAAAAACATGTTTGCTATATCTTTCACAATGAAGAACTGTTGTTGTTAAGTGCCATCCAGTCAGTTCCAACTCATAGCAATGCTGTATAGGATTTCCGAGGAGCAGCTGATGGTTTAGAACTACCAACCTATGGTTCAAACCAACTTTATGGCCCAGTGCTTATCTTACAGTGCCACACCGGGACTCCAGGTATATGTAAATAAGGGTACTCAGAAAGCGAACTTGTTTAAGAGTTGGGGAGGCCTGAGTTTGCTTTGCCTGGGGTCCCATGCTGTTGTTAAGTTCTGACAAGGCACTTTCGACTTATATATCAACCTTGTGTAGGGTTTCTGAGGCTGTAAATCTTTGTTGGAGCAGAAAGCCTCAGCTTTCTCCTATGGAGCCGCTGGTGGGCTCAAATTGCTGACCTTGTGGTTCCCAGTCCAATGCTTATCCTAAGAGCCACCGCATGCTCCATTGGGTACTGGCCTTGTGGTTCACAGCCCAGTGTTTATCCTACAGAGTCATCACGCTGCACTAATTAAAGTCATATAGCTGAGTGATGATTAAACTGTCTGTCTATAATGAAGAAATGGAGCTGACGTAGCTTCTGGTGGCTTCTGTCATTAGAGGTGGAACAAGAGGAGCTTGAAGGCACACAAATTACCCAGTGTGGAGGTCAACTTAGCCTAGATCATTCTATGTCATGTGGTATGCACCTGGGGAAGCTCCTGTCCACTATGACTGACCGTGTCTGTTGATAGTGATTTTGTGACCCTTAAGTCCACAGCCTGTAACTCTTTTAGCAGAAGAAGTTTAATCTATTGTACCTTTCACGTTAGTATAGAGTTTGAAATATGGTAGGTTGGGCACCAAAGAAATTAGAAAGTAAATATGTTTATTAAAAATGTATTCATCTGTTATGTTTAATTATAAAGTGTTTGTATATGTATGTATATAAATGTATATTTAGAGAATGAATAATAAAATATATCCATGTAACTCAATCCATTAATTTCTAATCTTTTTTAGTCTTTAACGCTTTCCAATTACCTATAAAAATATGTTCATTGTAAGTACTTAGTCTAATTCAGATATATATAATACAGACAGACTTAACATTCCAGACAACCAATCTCTTTTCATGGAAATGTTTGTATACTTGTATTTAATACACATATAACCTTACATGTTGCTTTTTTGAGCCTATTAAGTCATAATTCTTTTCCCCAGCTTGCGACAAGGTCTGTAAAGCCAGTTTCTTGTTGTTGTTTGTTTTTTTTGGAAAATTATGGTAGCTATATATGTAAAAGAACATTTTCCATTTCTACAATCTTCACATGCGGTTCAGTGACATTAATTACGTTCGTCATGGAACTCAACCATCACTGTTATTGTCAAGTGCTTCTGACTCATAGGGACCCTATATAGGGTTTCCAAGGACCAGCTGGTGGGTTTGAACTGCCAACCTTGTAGTTCAATCCGACCTTGCGGTCTAGTGCTTATCCTACAGCACCACATCAATACTCCTTATTAACATTGTTAAGTGCAGTCAAGTTGATTCCAACTCATAGTAACCCTGCACAGGGTTTCCAAGGAACAGTTGGTGGGTTTGAACTGCCAACCTTGTGGTTCAGAGTCCAGTGCCGGCTGATCCTACAGTGCCACACCAGGAGTCCCAACCATCGCTATTAGCCTCTAAAACCAGTGCATAATAGTCTCTTGAATGAGCCATCTTTTAGTCTCATCTTCATATAAAGTTTTTGTCTTTCAGATTGTTTCTAACATTTTACTATTGTAATGAACAGTTTTAGGCATATAGTTTCTCCCCCACTTCCATAATTTTGGATTATATCCTTAAAACAGATTATCAGGGTAGAATTACTGAGTTCAGAACTTTAAATATATTTATTCCACTGTATTCTTAGGTTTATATGAATCTACTTGTTACTCTAACAAGACAGGCTTTTCATTTCTGGTAAAAAAAGCAAAAAAATTCACAGAACCAGATGATTTTGAACCCATGGTTCATTACTATCTGATTAGATGAAAAGCACTGAAAGACATTAATATGTTGTTGCTAAGCGCCATTGAGTCGGTACCAACCCATAGCGACCTCATGTATAGCAAAACGAAACACTGCCCGATCCTGGGCCAACCTCACTATTGTTGCCATGCTTGAGTCCATCGATGCTGCCACTTGGCCAATTCATCTCGTTAGGGGTCTTCCTC